TTTTTTTTTTTTCAGTGAACTGTAAAGTGCTGAAGAAGAAAAAAAATTTTTTTTTGTGATAAAATGATTTGATAAGTGCAACGTTGTTTTAACGACAAAAAAAAAAAATTTTTTTTGCAGGATTACAGTTTCCAGTCAGATGAAACTGTGGAAATCAAAAATGAAGAATCGCAGCGAACATTTGGACAATTAAGCAATCCACTTGCTGACGAAATCAGTGAAGGGTCGGGCAATCAGCAGTCATTTGTTATAGACGAAAAACCGGTGAAGGTTAGACTGTTCAATTTGTATTTACTGTTTATAAACAGAATCTCTCAATAATAAAAACATTTTAAGAGACAGTAATAATTAAGTTATTAAAAAAAAAAAATTACAATCATTTACATCTAAGTTTATTTTTGTTTTTCCCTTTCTCTTTCTTTTCTCACCTTTCTGCTGTTTTCCACTTCTGTTTTCAACTTCAACAAATAGACTGGAAAAAACAATGGACTTGATCTCCATTTTAAGACTTCTCACTAAACTAATTCAAACAGTAACTTTTAAAATTGCTTTTGTTTTCTTTTTTTTTTTTACAATTTTTTCTTTAATGCTACTAAAATATTTCACTTTTCTTTTCTTTTTTTTGCTGCCTATCTTGCCGCTTTTACTCATTTACTGTTTTTTTTTCACTTATTAATAAAAACAAAATGTTCAGTTTTTTTAAGCAAAACGAAAAAAGTTATGAAAATTTCTTGTGTTTTTGCTGTCAAAAGTGCAATGAGACTTTGAAGTGATAGTTTTTTGATGTAGAATTATTGTCAAGATAAAAAATTACACTTATAATTTGGCATCTATCATCTTTATTTAGTTTGAACAAAACAGAAAAAAAAGCAGACAATACACCCCAGAATAAACAGTCGTTACTAAAAATGAATTAATGAAATCAATTGACTTACCTAACCAAAATGTTAATTTTTTGTTTTCTGAGGTTTTTTTTTTCTGGTTGTCATTAAACATTATTACTGGTAACAAATATTGTTAATTTAAGCAAAAAAAAATTTTTTTATATTTTATTGATAATGAAAAATACAAAATATTTTACTTTCTCTCTTTCCTTATATATAAAAAAAAAAAAAAGGAAACTAAATAAATATAAAAGAAAATGGAAAATTTTCTGTTGCTATTGTTAAGGAACTTCGTATGTGGCACGACAGCCAAATGGATCCGCCAACAACTGACTGGCCAACTGTAACCCAAGTGGTGTTAATTGGTGTTGGAATTGGTGGTGTCATTGGTGTTGGATACTATTTTTACTGGAGACATAAATGATACAGAATTGATGTTCCGACAA